TCAGTCCTGCGTCTTGACTCTCCGTACCGTCGATCAGCAGTGTGCCGATCGATCTCAGGCCGGCCAGCCGCCCCCCCTCCCCCACTGCCACCAGTGGGACCATGGACAGGGCATCCGCCAAGGGGTCAGGTTCCATCGTCACCACTAGCTCCTGCAGCCGCTCGGATGTCTGGATGATCTTGCCCAGTGTGGTCATGTCCAGACCGTAGGTCACTCCATGGACGCAATCATGCTCGGTCACCACAGTCTCAGTCACCATCTCGAGAGCAGGCGTCTGCCACTCTCGATCGGCCATTGCGTGGTGGTCCTTGGCTAGGCCGACGATGCTCCTGACGGCTGGCAGATACGGGCATGGGGTGGAGGGACGGGGCAGCAGCGACAGGGCCTTGTTGATACCCGCTCTCGCCTTTTGCGTCTCGTCGGGGGGCAACTCATGGTCCTCCCTGAAGCTCTCGCTGTCCTTGCCAGCCTCCTCTATGTCCTCCTCATCGTCCTCGTCTGGCTCGAAGGTGACGCTCTCGAGTGAGCCCTCAGGTATGGGCCGCCCCTCCTCCCGCCGCCCCGCCACCAGTGCTGCCCGCGCCTCTGCGTGGCCCTCCACGATGCCGATGACGACACGAAGACACCATGCCGCCAGCAGGCGGGGATGGCGCACTGTGATGCTCCTGAGGTGCGGCAGCCGTCTGCCCCACTCGTAAGCCGCCGCGAAGGAGAGCTTCTCGAAGAAGGTCGCACTGGTGTCGTCGTGGTCGATGATGAGGTGGGTGTAGTTGGCGGCCAGCACCTCCCACTCTCGAGTGTCGACGGGCGTGAGCGAGGCGCCTGCCGCAGCAGAGAGGAGGTCTAGGGGCAGCAAGGCCAACGTCAAAGCCAGCACGTCATACTGAGTGACGGAAGACGGACCCAAGACACACACCGAGCAGATCGAAGGACGAGTTTGGGCGCGTGTCGTGTATCTGCCTGCCTGCCTGCCTGATTGCTTTACGCACGTACCGGTATGGAGGCGAAGGCGAGCAAGGGCTGCCTGAGACCCGGCTGCCTGCCGCTGCCCGACGCCCCCTTGGCCTCGCCCTCGGCCGATCTCTTCACCTGGCCGCCATCTTCTGGCGACGCCCCCACAGAAACAGCCTGAGCAGACATTCATTCCCACAGGCGAATGAGTGTGTATGTGTGCCTTCCCGTGCACGCACACACACCTTCGCCTTGTTGACCAAGATGGCGATCTCCGAAGGGCTACTCTCCTGCACGCAGAGCACCACCGTGACGATCACCACCTAATGTGGTGTGAGCTCTCCTGCTTGGCTGCCGCATACCGCGCGCAGATATAGTGCGATTTTGATCT